CTGTGGTGGGGTCTGCATGCACACTCCCACTTCTGTGGAGACATAACCAATACTCTCCCCTGAGTGGGTTAGTACCCTGCTCCCCGCATGTCCCCATTCCCCCATTTTCCCTTCTGTGTTAGAATAACATGTACCTTCTTGGGTTTGGTCTGACCTCCAACTGATTGTGTATATTTTTAACCCGTATAGTGTGAGAGAAATGGCTTTTCTTCTATACCTATTGTGCTGATTATACTTACCTCGGGGGACTCATAGTGTTCTTGTCTTTTTGTGATTGGCTAACTTTGTTTAGCATAATTTCCTCCAACTCTACCCATGAGATGATGTACTTCATGCAATCATCAGTGCTTTTAAGTGATACATAGTACTCCATTTTGTGTATATGCCAGAGTTTACTGATCCACTCATCTATCAATAGAAATTTAGGTTTTTTCCAATTCTTTGCAATTGTGAATTGTACTGCAATAAACATTGGAGCGTAGATGACTAGTCATGGATCATTTCTCATCTCTTCTGGGTATATGCTCAGTAGAGGGATAGCTGAGTCATAAGGTAGCTCAATTTCCATTTGATGTATGCTTTCCACAGAGGCTGTACATATCTATAAGACTACCAGCAGTGGAGGAGAGTCCCTATCTTGCCACATCTCCTCCAAAATGTGTTGCTCTCTGACTTTCTGATTTGGGCTATCCTCAAGAGTGTTTGATGGTATCTCATGGTTGTTTTGATTTACATTTCTCTGATGGCTAATGATCCAGAGCATTTTCTCATATGTTTATTGGCTATTTGCGTCTCCTCCCTTGTGAAACTTCTGTTGAGGTCTTTTGCCCACTTCCTCGGGGGGTTTATTGTAGATTTTGATTAATAAGCCTGTTGTCTGTTGTGTCATTGTTAAAAATCCTCTCCCAGTCTATGGGTTCTCTTGCTACCCTCTTGAAGTCTTTTGATGCACACAGGTGTTTTATCTTTAGTATATACCACTTTTTGATTTCAAGTTCCACTGTGTATGTACTCTTCCCTATCACAGTTAGTCTACGCGTTGTTCCATGAGCCAAGGTTCTTAGTGTTGTCCCAATTCCTTCATTGATGGTCCTGATAGTTTGGGGTTTTACTTCTACATCTGTGATCCACCTTGAGTTTGTTCTTGTTTCATTTTTCTACAGGTGGATATCCATTGTTTCCAGCACCACTTGTTGAAGAGGGCATCCATCTCCCACTTGATGCTTTTTGGGCCCTTGTCAAAGATCAGTTGTCTATATGCTAATTGTTTTATTTCTGGGTTTTCTGACCTTTTCCATTGGTCTGAGTATCTGTCATCATTTCATTACTATGCTGTTTTGGCCATTGTGGCTGTATAATAGGTGTTAAAGTCAGGTAAGGCGAAGTCTCTGACTTTGTTCTTCTTCTTGAGGAGATCTCTGCTAATTCTGGCCTTCTTCCCTCTCCATATGAAATTGGTGGTCAGTTTTTTTCCCCATTTATTGAAAGTTCTTAGTATTTGAATCGGGATAACATTAAACTTATAGAGTGCCTAGGGAAAAATTGACATCTTTACTATATTGAGTCTTCTGATCCACAAGCATGGGATATTCTTCCATTTGTGGAGGTTGCTTTTAGTCTTCTGTAGTAGCATCCTGAAATTTTCCTTGTATAAATCTTATGGGTTTAGGTTAAATATATCCCTAGATATTTCAATTTGTTCTTAGCTATTGTGATGGGTACTGCCTTCTTGATCTCCTCTTCCATGATCTTGTCCGATGTATATAGAAAAACAATAGACTTCTGTTTGTTGATCTTGTATCCTGCCACTCTTCCATATTCCTCTATTGCTGCCAGTACTCCTGTTATGGAGCTTTTGGGATTTTCAATGTATAGAATCATGTCATCTGCAAATAGCAATAGTTTCACCTCCTCCTCTCCCAGTTGGATACATTTAATGTCCTTCCGCTGTCTTATGTTGTTAGCTAGGACCTCCAGTATGATGTTGAATGGAAGTGGGGACAAGGGCGATCCTGTCTGGTCCCCTTTTTCAGGGAGATTGTTTTAGTCTTTTCTCCATTGACTATGATGTTTGAGGTTGGCTCTCCATAGGTAGCTTGTATTAACTTGAGGAAGTTACCTACCATTCCTATCTTGTTGTGTGTCTTAATTAAGAATAGGTGTTAAAAACCCTAGGCTGTGCTCTGACGGTTAGCTCTGGCTACCTTGTTATGTTAAAGGATGTTAATGGACAGAGTTCTGCAGTTCAAAGTTACACAGAGGACCACTGATTAGAATTGAAAGCGTTTTTATATAGAAAAAAACAATTTCCCCTAATTTTCAAACTGTAGCTGCAGGAACCTCTGAGCTGAGCTTGGGACATGGTAGCTGAGGCCTAGTGGCTGGGGCACAGGTGGATGACTCAAGTGTTAGCTGTGGTGGGAGTTGCAATGATCTGTTCCCAGCTATAGGCACATGCAGGTGGGTGGGAAAAGAGGGCCCAGCTGAGTGTGTCAGCACAGAGGAGAGCAGAGGGGGAGGTAGTGCTGGATCCTTGGGGTATCAAACCACGACTGCCAGAGCCCCCATTGGGTGGCTGGTGGGTTTGGAGTGCGTTGACCTGGGCACAGGTAGACTACCAGAGTAGTCTGTTTCCAGCTAGAGGCACTGTGGATAGGCAGGCAGTTGGGTGGGAAAGAGCCCACAGTTGGGTCTCTCAGTTTAGAGGCTCCACTGCCCAGAGAGCAGAGGGCAGGGGAGCACTGGGCTGTTGGGTATCAAGCTGAGGCTGCCAGAGCCCTCGCTGGGCGGCTGGGGCGTGGGTGGCCGACTGGGGTGGTAGCTGCAGTGTGAGTTGGGGTGGTCTGTTCCTGGCTAGAGGCACTATGGACCATGGGCGGGTGGGTGGTAAAGTGGTCCCAGCCTCGTTTGTCAGCTTAGTGTGCAGGGCCAGGAAAAGGCAGAGAGGAGAGTGCCGATCTTGGAGGAGGGATCTTGCACTGGGCAGTGGGAGGGCCTCCTGTTGTTTGGGTTATGAAACCAGGGCTGTGGAAAGCTCTGCTGAGCAGCTGGCACACTCAGGGCTCTGTGACTAGGGCGCAGTGCCCCAGGGTGGTAGTAGCTGCAGTGGGGATCGCAGCAGCCAGGTGGCACAGGCCGGATGGATTAGGTCTTGAATTAGGCCCTGGTCTCAGGGAGCTCCTAGCCTGAGATGCCTACCTGGTTGCCATCCCCCTCCCCTGTTTATCATGATATTTTATACTGGTCCAGTTGGAAGATTTTTGTTTTCTTTACATTGAATTGTACTCTCCATACTGAAGGCTGTATGTTTTATGTAAAGTATTAAAAAAAGTAGTGTTTTGCCTATAGTTCATATGCTTTGCTATGCTGAGCTCTCATTTTCATTTGATGTTAATAAATTTATGATTTCTTCCTTCCCATTATTGGCAGCTTGCTAGTGTTAGTAATCATTTACTGAATTTTAATTTTGCTGATTTTATTTTCCTCTTTTGAAATCTTTTTCTATATTTTATTTGTCACAAATGTTATAGAAATTGGACCTTGTTCATTATAGTTTCTGTTTTTAGCAACTTTAAAGATACTAATTTTAACATTTTATTAGTGTTATATAAATATATAGAAAAGTATAAATCATAAGTACAGGTGGGAGAAATTTTACAAAATAAACACTTTTAAAAAATCACTTTATTGGGAGCTCATACAACTCTTATCACAATCCATACATACATCAATTGTGTCAAGCACATTTGTACATTCGTTGTCCTCATCATTCTCAAAACATTTACTCTCCACTTAAGCCCCTGGCATCAGCTAAAGAAACAAATTCCAAAACCATAGGAATGTCCTTATGTTCTCTTCTACGCCTGCTCCCCGCCTCCAAGGATAACCACTCTCCTGACATCCCATGTCAGTCTGACAAACACTACAGTCCTTCAGAAGAAAGAGGATGCTTCCTACTCTATTAAAGAGTTACACTCATAGGAGTAGTTTTATCTATTTTCCTAAAGGAAAATGAGTCGGAATCAACTTTGTGGCAGTGAGTTTGGTTTGGGGCTTATTGTTCTTAGAAGATGAATATATTTTTAATTTTATGATAAATGTATTTTGCATATATTTATGTATATATATATATATATATATGGAACTATACAAAATTTATTTTCCTGAAAATTTGTGTAACATTTCTGAACTAATGGTGTTAGAAATTCTGAACATGTCTGTATATTAATTGTGTCTTTTGTGTTTACTTCTGAATTTGGTGATTTTAGAGATCCTGGATAACTTTTTTTTGCTACTTATTTGATTTGGGAATTCTGGAATGCTCAAGAAGCATAAATTTTAATTTCTTATTTTCATGGTATAGCCCTGATGTTTTCATTTTTAAAGAATTGCTGCTTTCTCTTTTTTCCAGTTCCCTAGATAGATACATATTAACTTTTGCTTTTCTATCTTAGTAAGTCGGGTTTTTCCAATTATTTTTTCATGCATAAAGTTTTTTAAGGCCCAGTGCTTTAGAGAACATTTTCAATATATCTTTCTAACTAGTATGGACCCCAAAATATGTCATTTGCCATTGCTTAGACATTAAAATTATAGTTCCAAGACTTTTTCGTTCTATCTATAAATTCCTTCTGGGCTCCATCATGTCTGTGCCCACCTATAACTATTCATTGCACATATTTCTAGCATATGAATCATTTTATTTTCTTGCTTTACAGATCTGGTGTGTATTAAAACTTAAATTTTGCTTTATTTTGTATTTTTATGTTTCTGAAAGTGAGTAGAGGTTGGAGATAAGAGACCATTCTGCCATTTTCCCGAAGTTGAGCAAATCAATTCAGTTGCAATCCTAAGGTGTTTGGTGGAAGTTATACGTGATATTTTGGGTTATGAGCCGGAATTTCCCTTTGTGCTAAGCTGGATTATGTAAGACCATTGTTCTACTGAGTTGAGCTAGTGATTAGGTGACTTAACGCAGATCTTTTGTTGTTGTTTTACAGATGCAAGGTTCCAAGACCAACATTGAAGAGAAAAGGCCTAAATTTAGAAAAAGGAAAAGGTATACTCTTTAAAATTTTTAAATATTATGATACAATGAATTTCTCCCTTCCTTCCCTCTTTCTCTCTCTTTAAATATATATGTATAAACAAGGGGCCCCAAAAGACATGGAAAAGTAGAAATAAAATAATGGAAAATTTCCACGAACTTTTGTTAAGTCCTTTTAGATACACACACACACTCAAGTAAGTAAAAAATATTGCTCTGACCTATAGCTACCCTGTGCACAACAGAACAAAACACTGCCCAGTCCTGTGCCAACCTCACAATTGTTCGTATGCCTGAGCCTATGGCGGTCACTCTGTCAACCCATCTGGTTTAAGGCTTTCCTTTTTTTCACCACCACCCCACTTAACAAGCATGGGGGTCCCTCTCCAGGGACTGGTTTCTCCTGACAATATTTCCAAAGTATGTAAGACAAAGTCTTGCCATCCTTACCTCCAAGGAGCCCTCTGACCTTACTTCTTCCTATACAGATTGGTTTGTCTTTTTAGCAGTCCATGGGACTTTCAATATTCTTCTCCAGCACCATAATTCAAATGCATTGATTCTTCTACAGTCTTCCTGATTCAGTGTCAGACTTTCACATGCATATTAAATGATGAAGAATACTATGTTTGGGTCAGGCACTCCTTAGTCTTCAAAGAAACACACTTGCTCTTCATTATATTAAGGAGACTATCTATGTGCAGTAGATTTACCTAGTGTGATACATCATTTGATCTCTTGACTGCTGCTTCCATGAGCATTATTGTGGATCCAACTGAGACAAAATTATTGATAACTTCAACCTTTTCCCCATTTATAATGATGTTACCTATGGGTCCAGTTGTGAGGATTTTGGTATTCTTCACATTGAGTTATAATCCATACTGAAGGCTACAATCTTTGATCTTTATCAGTAAGTGCTTCAAATCTTCCTCACTTCCAGCAAACAAGGTTGTGCCATATACATATTGCAGGTTGTTAATAAGCCTTCCTCCATTCATGATGCCACACTATTCTTCATGTAAGTCAGCTTCTTCAATGGTTTGCTCAGCATATAGATTGAACAATATGGTGAAAGAATACAACTCTGACACATACCTTTCCTGATTTTAAACAATCCAGTTTTCCTTTATTATGTTCACACAACTGCCTGTTGATCCAGGTACAAGTTCCTCATAAGCACAATGAAGTGGTCCAGAATTCCCCTTCTTCTCAAGGTTATCCACACTTTATTATGATCTTCAGAGTCGAATGCTTGGCATAGTCAATGAAACATAAGTAAACATCTTTCTGGTATTCTCTGCTTTAAGCCAAGATCCACCTGACATCAGCAATGATATCCCTTGTTTCACGTTCTCTTCTGAGTCTGGTCTGAATTTGTGGCAGTTCCCAGGCGATATACTGCTGCAATCATTGTTGGATGATCTTAAACAAAATTTTACTTGTGTGCAAAATCAGTGTTATCATTCTGTAGTTTGAGAATTCTGTTGAGTCACCTTTCTTTGGAATGGGCACAATATGGATCTTTTCCAGTCAGTTGGTCTTCCAAATTTCCTGGCATAGATGAATGAGTGCTTCCAGTCCTTCATCAGCTTGCTGAAACATTTCAGTGAGTGTTCTTTTAATTCCTGGAGCTTTGCTTTTGGCTAATGTATTTAGCGTAGTTTGATCTTCCTTCAGCACCATTGGTTCTTGCTCATATGCTACCTCCTGAAGTGGTGGACTGTCAACTAATTATTTTTGGTACAGTGACTGTGTATTCTCTTCATCTTCTCTTTATGCTTCCTTTATCATTCAATATTTTTTTGCTTATAGAATATTTCAAAATTGCGACTCAAGACTTGAATTTTTTTCTTGAGTTCTTTCAGTTTCACATAGGCTGAGCACATTCTTACCTTTTGTTTTTCTAAATCTAGATCTTTGCAATTTCTTTATATTTGTCTATGTCTTCTCGACCTGTCCTTTGAAATTTTCTATTCAGCTTCTTGATTTCATTCTTTCTTCCATTTGTTTTAGCTACTTGATGATTAATAGCAAGTCTGAGTCTCTGCTCATCCACTTTGATCTTTTCTTTCTTTCCTGTCTTTTTTTAAAAATCATTTTATTAGGGGCACATACAACTCTTATCACAATCCATACATACATCAATTGTATAAAGCACATTTGTACCTTCATTGCCCTCATCATTCTCAAAACATTTGCTTTACACCTACGCCCCGGCATCAGCTCCTCATTTTTCCCCTCCCTCCCCGCTCGCCCCTCCCTCATGAGTCCTTGATCATTTATAAATTATTATTTTGTCATATCTTGCCCTGTCCGACGTCTCTTCACCCACTTTTCTGTTGTCCTGTCTTTTTAATGACCTTCGCTTTCTTCATAAACGATGGTCTTTAGAGTTCATTGCATTAAATTTGTTCTTGAGATGTTCTCAAAATTCAGGTGGGATAAAATCAAAGTCATAATTTGGCTCCTGTGGACTGTTTTTGTTTTCTTCAGCTTCATCATAAACTTACATATCAGCAATTGATGGTCTGTTCTACAGTCAGCCCCTGATCTGGTTTTAGCTGATGATATTGAACTTCTCCATTGTATCTTCTCACAGATGTAGTTAATTTGATTTCTGTGTATTCCATCTGGGGAAGTCTATGTGTATAGTCACCTTTTGTGTTGTTGGAAAAAGGTATTTGGATGAACAAGTTGTTGGTTTTGCAAAATTCTATCACCAAGTTCATGTTTTTCAACTACTTTTCCGTTGCCAACTTTTGCATTCCAATCATCAATTCTATTAATGCATATGCATGTTGCATGTTTGAACAATTTACTATGGAAGTCGTTGATAAAATTCTTCAGTTTCTTCATCACTAGCTTTGGTAGTTGATGCATAAAATTAAATAATATTTGTATTGATTAGATTTCCTTGAGGGCGGATAGCTATAATCTGATCACAGGTAGCATGGTACTTCATGATGGATTTAGCAAGATCCTGTCTGACAATGAATGCCACACACATCCTCTTGATTTTGTTATTCCTGGCATCATAAATCATATGAATTTCTGATTCAAAATAGCCAATACCAGTCCATTTCAGCTCACTAATGCCTAGGATATAGAGCTTCATGTGTTTCATTTTATTTTTGACCACTTACAATTTTCCTAAATTCATATTTCTCACATTCCAAGTTCCAATCAGTAGACGATTTTTGCAGCTGTTTCTCTTTTCCTTGACTCATGTATCATCAGGAAATGAAGATTCCAAAGGCTCCACTCCCACAAGCTTTACCTTTACAACTTACGTCACAATGGTCGAGTCCCGTCTAAGAAAACCATCAGCTCTTCAGTCACGTTTCAAGTGCTCTTGAACCTGAGGGGCCTATCTGCCAGCAGTATCTCAGACAATATTCTGCTTCCTTCTTTTAGGTTTTCAGTATTTGCAAATGCCTCACATAAGGTTTTCAGTAGCTTCTTCCTCCAAAGTGGGGAGCCCAGTCCTTCGTCATTGTCTGGTTTAGTCTGGAAACTCCAATGAAACCTATTCACTTTGGGTGACCCTGCTAGTATTCGAAATACCAGTGACATAGCTTCTAGCATCACAGCAACACCCAAGGCACCACAGTTCACCTAACTGATGGACAAGTGGTGGACAAAATAATAGAAACCCCTATTAAGCAAAAATATGAAGCTAGTGTTTCTTAAAACACCCTCCATTTCTGTCTATATACATCTGAAGGCAGTGTTTCCATCTCTCTAACATTTCCTTTTAAGGATTCTGTGGTCAAACAGCAGCTTGAGCACTCTTAACTCAAATTGTGTTCCATTTGCATGTTCTTTGAATTTGAGGAACAAGGAAAACTCTGAAGAGGCATGATCAGGACTGTAGGGTGCATGGGGCAAGATTTCCAATGAAATTCTTTTAGGATAGCCCTTACTACCCTGGGGGGAAAAAAGAGCAAGTGCATTGTCATGGTTAAAAAAAATTCCTTGGCATTACTTTCCTGGTCTTTTATTTATTATTATTATTTTTACAGATCTAGTTTTCAACTTTTTAAAGACTTCATTATAAGCCCTCGTGATGGTTCTGTGTTCTTTGGGTAGGGGGGGAGGCAAAACAAAACTATTAAAATGACCTTTTTGGAAGGCTTTTTTTTTTTTTTTGAGACTCCATTCCTCCACTCTAATAGTTGATCTTTGGAGCTGACCTTTCTACCTTGAATTTCATTGGCCAGCAAATCCTCTTAGAAGCCACTCTTTTGATTGGACTGTAATTTAGAAGGCACCTTAAGAAGATTAAGACAAGTGTATTGCTGAGAGAATTTGTCTGCAGCTACCTGCTCATGGCAGAGATGTATTTAAACATGTTTTGTTTGGAAGAAACCATCAAGGGAATTCTAGTAGAAATACTTTTTAACTTAACCTCTTATAATTTAATTACTACAAGACATTTCCCCAAATTCTTTTGTTTGTTTAAGGAAATATAAATAAAATTTTCTTTAAAAATTAAAATAAACTTTAGAAGTATGAAGAAAGTTTTATACTTATAGAAATCTGTTAAATCAGAACTTCCAATGATGATTATTTTTAGAGCTACCAGATGAGAAACACATTTTTGTTTAAAATTGGTAATACAAGTCAGACATAGTCCTTTATGATGAACTAATATACCACTGAGGACAAGTCTTAATGTTTGTCATTTATCCAGCCATACGGTTTATTTACTCGCTTACTTTTTTAGTGAGTGGTAATCAGTACTGTGTTAAAAAGAGTCTTAGTGAAAAGCAAAGTCTTGCATGGCTAGTATTCCTTCTTTGTCATTTTCAGAAAGTGAATCAATTTTCTAAAATATCTTTTACTGCTTTATCTCAGGAACAGTTCATAGTAACCCCCCCACCCACCCCAATAGGTTGGAGGCATATAATAATTATCTCTATTTAGCAGGCAAAACAAATTGTAACTTAGAGAAGTCGCTTTTAAAAGCTGTTATAGTTAGAGCAAATGAGTTTAATAGATATTTTCTGCTTACATCAGCAGTATGACATTGTGGGAAAAGCATGGACTTGCAGTCTGACAGAACTGAAAACAGCCTTTTTTTTTTCTGTATTGGCAAATGTCTCAATTTCTTTGACTCCCCATTTCTTTATCCATAGAATGAGAGTACAACTCGGAGTTTGGGAGGAGGGTATGGATCTTACGTAACGTTATTTAGTGCCTTCATCATGCTTTCCCAGTAGTGGGCCTCTGACATTTTTCTTTTGCATTGAGTCATGCTGCCTTCCTTACTGTATGAAACATCCCCCCATCTCCAGAGTATCTCAAGAACAGGAAATATGTATTCAAAATCTACAATTACCAATAAATATCCATGGGTGGTTATTTAAATATACCTGATTGATCTTTTGAAACTAAATCTGTCAAATTCTTTTTCTAGGAAAGCTATTTTAAAAGGTTCCTTTGAAAATGTTTGTTCAGATGATGCCTTATCAAAGGAAAACATGGGTATGTAAAGACCTGTCCTACTTTTAGTTCTTTCACCAGTATTTAATTTCACAATAAAAACCAAAACCAGAAACAACCCCGTTCTTGGCTATCGTCTTTGTGGTAACAATGTATGAAAAATATTAATGAGAAGTGTTTGACATTGATGTACACACTTGAACTCTTTGTCTTTAGGTTTTTAGTTCCACACATTAAATCTTATCTAAGCTTCACCAGACAATTTATTTCCTTTATTTGAAGGAGGTACTACTGAGGTTGACAACAGGTGTGGGAGGCATTCCCAACAACCAGACGCTTCAATCCAGACCTCCTCATTCCAGATTTACTGGAGCACTGGGGGTTCCAGAGAGAGAGAAGGAGCCTGGGGTTTACAGCTGAATTGTCCCACTAGTACTAGAGCACAGTAGGGTGAAAGTCAAATGCAGAGACAGTTTACATCTCAAAAGCGGTTCACTCTTCCCACATTTTCAATAGTCTTGCAAAGCAAGCAAATGCTTATTTAAAAGGGTGGAACATTAGCAGCCTTGCAAAGAGCTTTGAAAGCCTGTTAACCCCAGGCATTAGCGGGGCCATGTACCCTCTCTGTGGCAGCCAGCGTAGGAGCTGTGGCACTGCACTGCTTTGGGCTACAAAGCAACCCAAGAACAGATGGAATAACCCAGAGTAGTAACTTCAAGCTCCCTGCCTCGTTTTCTTGAGAGCTGAGCCTTAGTTCTTGAGACTTGCCATGACTCTTGAGAATTTAGGCATTTGATCTCGTATGTACTTTCAAGCTAGACATAAAACCACATCTATGTGTGCACACGCAAAAGCAACTCATCCAAACATGTAACACACTCCCTACCAGACTTAAGTTGTTTTAGTTATCAAATTTATTCTTTTCTCCATGGACTAGTCTCCCCCACCCCCACCTCCGCCCATCTCTCTTTACACTACCACTCCATTCTGTTGTTTTTATTAATCCCTTTTCTAACCAATTCTGCATTACTTTCCCACTAATTGTGGTACCATTCCATCACTGCTTCCTGAGCTGATTCTTAGGGGAGCCCCTGGCACCTCAGCAGAGGGCTCCAAAGTTCAGGACCCTTCCCACTGCTTGCTCACAGAAGGAACACTGCAGGGGAAACCACTGTAGCCAGGAGGCATTCATGAACCAGAAACGAATCTTTGGAGTAAAATGAATGAATGCATCCCAGTGACTAGCCAGGTGGAGGGAAGCTCCTTCGGGAGTCTCAGAGTCCTTATGGCTCTGAAAGCCTCAGAAGTTATCCTGATCCTGGGTTTGTCATCTTCCCATTGTGAGCAAGTAAACAGGAGGAGTATCTATTCAACTGTGTACTTTACAAAGTTGATTATCTTCCTGAAAGGGAGTTTCTTTTCATGATAGCCCTCCAAGTTTTGATCCCCTCCCCACATTTCTGCAGGCCAGGTGGCATAGTGGGGAAGCACTGGACTGCTAACTGAAAGGTTCACAGTTCAAGCCAACCGGCCACTCAGCAAGAGGGGACCTGTGTGCCTCACACTCCCTGGTGCAGTGAAGTCTCCCAATTTCAATTTATGTTATTTCTTTTTTTTAAATTGTTTTATTAGGGGCTCATACGACTCATCACAATCCATACATACATCAATTGTGTAAAGCACATTTGTACATTCAATGCCCTCATCATTCTCAAAACATTTGCTCTCCACTTAAGCCCCTGGCATCAGGTCCTCATTTTTTCCCCTCCCTCCCCGCTAGCCCCTCCCTCATGAGCCCTTGATAATTTATAAATTATTATTTTGTCATATCCTGCCCTGTCCAACATCTCCCTTCACCCACTTTTCTGTTGTCTGTCCCCCAGGGAGGAGGTCACATGTAGATCCTAGTAATCAGTTTCCTCTTTCCAACCCATTCTCCCTCTACCCTCCCAGTATCGCCACTCACACCACTGGTCCTGAAGAGATCATTTGCCCTGGATTCCCTGTGTTTCCAGTTCCTATCTGTACCAGTGTACATCCTCTGGTCTAGCCAGACTTGCAAGGTCGAATTCGGATCATGATAGTCAGAGCGGGGGGGGAGCATTTAGGAACTAGAGGAAAGTTGTATTTTTCATCATTGCTACATCATACCCTGTCTGGCTCATCTCCTCCCCAAGACCCCTTTGCAAGGGGATCTCCAGTGGCCTAAAAATGGGCTTTGGGTCACCACTCCATATTCCCCTCATCATTCACTATGGTAAGATTTTTTGTCCTGATGATGCCTTATACTTGATCCCTTTGACACCTCGTGATTGCACAGGCTGGTGTGCTTCTTCCATGTTATTTCTAAAGCCTTAGACATCAACTATAGCTTCTCTTTCTCTCTCCCTTAATTAAGAGATCAGGAGGATAACTAATTAAGTAGCTACTTAATCTTTCCTAATATTACTTTCCTTATCTGTAGAATGCCCTCTTATATTTAAAGTTTGCGCTCATGACTGTACAATAATAGTTTCCTTATTTGTAGGAGACCTTCTTATAATTTAAAGTTTGTATGGATGCCTGATTTTTTTTTTTAATTAATCAATTTATTGGGGCTCATACAATTCATCACAATACATAGATCAATTGTATAAAGCACATCTATACATTTGTTGCCCTCATCATTCCCAAAATTCTCTTGCCTCTTGGGTTTGGATGCCTGATTTAAGAAATAATTATTTGTGGCACATGTCTGCTTTTAAAAACTTATTGCTGTCATGAATATTATAATTTTTATTGTCCCCATAGCTAATTTTTTCCAAAGTCTAGGGATATGAAATTTTTCCTATGATAATAATAAAGATGATGATAACCAACTGTCCCATTTTATTAATAGTTAGACCCAATTAATACGTGAGACATTGTACAAGGTGTGTGGGGTGGGGGGAGTGTTAGAGTGTTGAGACAAAATATTTGTAGCAAAATTCCATTATCTTTTAATTTGATTTTTCCGTGAACTTCTTGAACTTCTGTGACCTTTCTAAGGTCACACAAATTCTTAAAAGTAAACGAGGTGTTTAGTATAGCAGTTTCCTTGGTTGCTTGAGTACCAGCAACCTCAAAGCTAATGTTATGTGTTTATTTCTTGAGGATTACTTTTGAACTCCATCAGTTTACAATATAGGAATACCTGTTTAGAAAAGCAAACTTCCGATTGTTCTGGAAGCAGATTTTGACATCAGTTAAGGTGATGCTATGAACCCCGGTTAATTTATTAAGTCATCCATTACTTTGCCTACTCTTTAATCAAAAGGCAGTACAAATAGTTTTCCAGACCGCTTGAAATCAAAGGACCTGCAGTGTGATTCAGCAGTGACATTCATTATCATAAATTGATTGTATTTAAGCTTAGCTTTAGAAATATAAAGATGCTTGTGCCCCATTTTATTTTTTTTATAGCATAGCTCAAAATCCGTCTTCTCCACAGTGCAGTACATGTCAGTGTCAATGCCCATAGACTCAGACTGGAAAGTAGGAGAGCACAGGGCGAGTGGACCTGAGAGGTCAGTTGGAAGATGACCACAGTTGTTGTGTATTAAGTAACAGGTTATTAAATACAAAATCTTAGTTATGGAAGCGAGTTGATTTCATTAACAAAATTGCTTCAATACAAATGCACATTTCTCTCAGACTCAATGCCATCAAGTTGATTTTGACTGATAGTAGAAATGCCCCTGTGAGTTTCCAAGACTGTAAATCTTTACTAGCATAGAAAGCTTCATCTTTATCCCACGGAAAGGCTGGTGGTTTTGAACTGCTGGCCTTGTGGTTAGCAGCCCAACATGCAACTTTCAACTACATCACCAAGGCTCCTGTACATTCCTGTAGGACATTCTAATACAGTGTGTATGGCATTTAACCCATCTTTAAGAAATAAACTCTCCAGCCAACAAATTTTGAATACCATGGCTGTGGACACTCAATAGTTCATACTCTGCTTTCTTAGGCTTTACTAATAACCAAGGCCACAAGCCTATCTAAATACAACTTGCATGTCGATTATAGTTTTTATTTGCTTGTTTCATTTTTTTTCAACCATAGAAAATGGTCCTAAGGTATGTAAATGCTTATGAGAAAGCTTCTTATTTTGAAATGAATTTTTTGTAGAGGAAACCTAAAATGGACTGCGAAGAAACTATGGTCAGGAAGGTTTGTTAATATGTGCTTATTCTCTTTAGTCCTTTGCCCTTAGTAGGCACAAAATAAATATTGGTAGACTGACTATATAGAACAGCTTGGAGCTGGCAATACAAAGACAGAAACTTATTTTTGTAGCCATAACTATAATGTGAAAACTATAAACTAAAAATTATTTTTCCAGTGCTATAATGACAATTAAGAAAGATAAATCTGTTTCATAACCTCTAGTGACTTTATTTAACAGTAAATAGTATTCCTATTTAGTACATTATTTAACACTACTATTTAGTTAAATTTTAGGCAGAATTAATTTTTTTCTTATAAGTGACATGTGAAAGAAAATTATCAACATAGGGGTTGTTAATAATATTTGGACACTTGCAATGGAAGAAAGGAAACAGCATAAGAACTCTTTCTCCTTTTTTAGTTCATTTTCCCCCTATAACTTGGCTAATCTATAGGAATGTGTGTAAATGTTTATCTGTGGATATATACACACACATATAGGAATTGTGTGTATATCATATCATGTGATATACATATCATGTATATCATATGCATTCTTCCTAAAAATCATTAATCATACATTTTAAAGTATGTCCAACAATGACTAAAAATTCATATAATTGCTGAAAAAATGCTGCCATATTCGTCAGTAATATTTTAGTTCTAACATGCATCGGATGCTAGAGTGTTTTCGTGTTGCATGCACTTTCAGCTTCTCTACCTAGCATGACTTTTGGTGACCTGCCAATGAACACAGACAATAAGACGAGATAGTCAGATTTTGTTAAGCAGAATGGAAGATAAAAGGGCACCTACTCATAGCCTTTCCCTCCAAGTCATGTTGTCTTTGGAGGGGTTTCTCGGGTGCGCCATCTGTCTCCCAGGTCTAGGGCAGCAGACTGCATGGGGCAGCTTTTCCTTGACTTTTACTTCAGTGAGACCTTATATCAACTGAGTATTTTTTTTGTTCCATTACAAATAGGAATTTTGAGACTTCTTGGTGATCAGTAGCTGCATCTATAGAATTAAAGTAGGATTTTGTTCATTTATTTTGGAAAGGGTATTTTTGATTTAAATGAATTGCTAGGTTTTTGCCTATGTCACACAGTAATACAAAAACGACTTATATAATATTGGTATTTTTAATATAAGATTTTCAATTAAGGTATATCCATATTTGGATTAAAAATGAACATGACTTTGTTCAGTCTAGCTACTTAGCTATGCAGCTTCCTCTTTTAACCAGTAGCTGTAACAGTTTATAATAGGAATTGGCAAACTAGCCCATAGGCCACCCATTTCATAAATAAAGTTTTATTGGAACATAACCATGATCATTTGTTTATGTACACAGCCATGGTTTGTGCAGTAACAGCAGAAGTAAGTAGTTGTGACAGAAGCCATCTGGCCAACAAAACCTGAAATATTTACTTCCTGCCCTTTACAGGAAAGGGATGTCAACCCTTAGTCTATAAATAATACTTTGGTGTCTGTATTAGTTTCCTAGGGTAACATAACAACATGCCACCCATCAGGAAACTTAGAAATGTACTGTCTCACCATTCTGGAAGTTAGTTGTCTCCATGTAAGATGTTGGCAGGACTGTGTCCCTGCTTAAGGCTCTAGTTCTCAGCCTTCTTCATGCCGTGACCCTTTCATACAGTTCCTCATGTGGTGGTGACCCCCCCCCCCCAACCATAAAATCATTTTCATTGCTACTTCATAACTGTCATTTTGCTCCTGTTACGAATCGGGCGACCCTGTGAAAGGGGCCGTGACCCACAAGTTGAGAACCCCTGCTAGAGAAGCTGCTTTCCTGTTTCTCTGAGCTTCTCATTGCCTCGGTGCTGCTGCGTAACTGCTGTCCCACGGCCTGTGTCCCAGAGTCTCGTCTTCCTGAACATGGTCTTTTCTTCCTCAAGGACATCACTCAGATGGGAGCAGGGTCCATCCTCCTGCAACAGGACTTCACCCTCTCTTAACTGACAACATCTTCAAACGGTGTCCAATCAGCTACCCGAAGTCAGGACTTCAACGTTTCTTTGGGGAAAAAGGAAACTCAATTCAATCCCACATAGTGACCCGGGCCCTTCTACATAAATAAAATATTTTGAGTTTTTGAGGTTTCACAGATAGTTTATGGTCTACACATAACAAGTATATAACGTTTTTCAAGGAAGAATTGTAAGAGATTCCTAAAAATTCATAATAGTTTTGTATCAAACCGCATCTGTATGTAAAAATCATAGGAAATACATATTTTTGGTCTTGTGATGTTTAAAAAAGTTTCTCTTTCTAGGTGATTAATATTATGAATTACTCTGAATTAATTAAGCTGTAGCCTTTTTTTACTATACTAATTTTTTATGCTGTACTCTTTAGTTGTTTCTGAGGCGGAAATTTTACTCAAAGAACTGGAGCAAATGCTACAGCAAGCACTAGAGCCCACTGCGAGCCCAGAGGAGTGTGAAGGGGAACATGGAGGAGAAACAATTCCGGGAGAAAAGGTATGAGTGACACTTTCCATCAGGCCTGGATAGCAATTTAAAACCCTCCAAATGGCAAATTTTTCCTGGTTGTGCTTTTTAATTACAAGGAAAACATTTTTCACTTCTGAAATTTAGGCCCTTGATTACCATACGGTGAATAATAGACTAGTAACCTGTTGTGAAATCAGAATATATCTCTTTGTCTTTGGAAATTTTTTAAAGAATTTTTTTTTTTTAAATAAAAAGAAGAGCGCTTTTTATTTCAGATCTTTGGGATCAGAATGAAGACGGTGGGTGGGGAGGGGGCTCGTTGAAATGAGAAGATCCCACTAGAGAGAGAGACCTTTCCCCTGCTGTATATCTGTCAGGAGAAGGGATTCTGATGGAATATCTGCCCTGTGCACTGTTTGGTGCCACCTACCGAAGCCCTTGGGTGGGAAGCTGGCTCAGTGCTCTACTGTTCAGAGAAGGTCTCCTGATGACCCCACCTGGAGACCTGCCTCTGAAAGTCTACATGTAGGGTATTGGAAACTATCCCGAGCAGTTATGCTCTGCACACCTGGGGTCGCCATGAATTGTAATGGAATGGATGGCACCTAAGAAGCCCTGGGGGCACAGTGGGTTGAGCACTGGGCTGCTAACTGAAAGATGGCAGTTCAAACCCACCAGCCTCTCTGTGGAAGAAAGGCGAGACTGTGTTTTCCTGTAAAGATGTATTGCCTCAGAAACCCTATGGAGCAGTGCTGCTCCATCCTGTATGGTCGCTGTCAGTCGGAATCAATGGGATGGCAGTGGTATGGGTAGGGTGACAACTAACAACAACAACACAGTTGTTACCCTCCACATGGAGTGTGCAAGCGCCATGCACCAGGGGACCTCTTTTGCCAAAAAACTGAAATGTAAAATACTGGAGGTAGAATTTTCAGTTGAAATGAGTTGCATCATTTTACCATTCCTATCTAGATTTATCTCTTGTGTGTGTGTGGCTAACTATGCTGGATGCAGAAAGGCCATCTGTGCTTGTTTTATTCCATGCTTATATATGACAACATAAATTTTACATTTTAAAATTAATACCACTCAGCCCATCAGCTCCATGTCTCTGCAAATAAAATGTGGATTTGTGATGCGTGGCCAGGGGAGGTGGTCATTAACCCAGAGCAGCAGTGAGGTGTGTGGACTAAAAATAAGTCAGAGGGCAGACACTGTAGTGAAGAGGTACAGCTGCTCCCTAAATAAAGAAGAAAAAACACCAGGGAGGACTTGTTGTGTATCTTTAAAGTATCTCTCTTTCCTTCTCCCTCCCTCCCTGCCCCCTCCTGCCTTCTCCCCCTTCCTCCCCCACCCCCACTCAATCCCTCCCTACCTGAGTCTTCCTTTCCTTCGTTTGGAGAAAAAGGATGCTTGGAGGCAAGAGGGCACAGTGGTTAGAAACACTGACTGGTTCCTAATGCCTGGGTCTCAATCCTGCTCCTGCCACCTCAGACCTGTCTAGCTTGGTAAAGTTGCTTATCACTTGCCTTAGAAGGTTCTTTGAGATGAAGCAAATGCTTTGTATAGTAACTGATAGTTTAGCTGTGATTGTAGATGGGAATTAGCAATGCAGTCCATAGAGAGTAGGTGCTAAGATTTCCTAACGTCCACTCTTGTTTTCCACATCCTCAAGTCTTTCTGCTCTCAGATGGAGAAAACATGGATTTGTAAATGAACAAGGTGCTTTATGCACTCTGACAACTACCAACTGCAAGGTTTTGTTCAGAACTTCAGCAAGAAGAAAGCTGAATCTTAAGCACCTCCTTAATTGAGTTTGAAATGCTGAAAATACATAGAATTTCCTTTGAGATACACATGTAGAAAGAAAATAAAATTAATGTTGAAAACTCCTATTGAGTTGAAAGACACAGTATCTTTAATAATCAACACCAGCAACCACAGTTTTTACCTGAATTGGCATGGGTTTTAAATATGATTTTTAAAAATTAGACTTTCTTTTTTCAAGACTTGTTTTTGTATATGGATTTTACCTTTTGTAGAGCAAGAGCTATAGGTTGGTGGCATATATCTCCTATACACATAATTAATGCAGAAATTTCTTTCTAGCAAATAAATGTTTTATTTGAACACCATGTGCTTTTGTGAAATATGTTTTCAGTCTGTATAGTTTGTCATTTCAAAAATACATCCAGGGTGATTTTCAGAGTGATGTCCTGGAGTTTTTACAGCCATAGAATTGCCTTCTATTTTGCCATTATAATTAGTAAGCTGATAGAACAGGAAATTACTTACTTCTGATTTTTTACTTCATAAGGTAAAATACATAGTTTTAATAGCAGGGGTTTACATTGGGTTTTAGATTCTTGCATTATTTCATGCTTTCAAAAGGCATTTAAGGATTGTAAAATTTAACCACTTTACCTGGCTGGCAGGCAGGTGAGTGCTTCCTGCTGGCTGGTTCATCAACCACTCTCCACACAAAGCACTGCCTTCTTGCCAGAGTGCCTGGCCCCCGTTTAAATGGCGACAAGAGTAACAATGAAGCAAATGACATTAAGCTGGAACTCTTTCCAGTTTGAAAATAAAGAAGTGACCACACACATACACCCCAAGCCTGGAATTTATTCATTTATTCTCTCTTTCCTTGAGGGATGGGGAGAAAGAGAGAGAGAGAGAGAGAGAGAGAG